ACTATCATAGATATATAAAAGTATACTTTAGTCTTTAGAAGTGTCAAGTACCCACGAATAATATTATACAATCACAACAAAATAACCAAAATAGATTTTCTATGTTTTTTAATATGTAATTTCGACCAAATTTGAACTTAAAATAACTATAAAAATACACTGTGCTTATGTATTTTTTAGATTTTTTGGTAACTTAATTGACTACTTAAATTGAATCTTGTTTAAAATGTTCAATCCTTAGATATAAAAGTTGAACAGTTTATAAATTTTTAACTACAAAATAATTATTCAATTTTAAATTTGATACATTTTGTCAAAATTTGATGTTTAAATGCTTATAAAAAAAAATTGTGGCAATGTACTTTTAATATTTTTCAACTGCTATTGCAACTAATATATCGGGAGCCTTGTATTAAATTTTTACACTTTTTGACCCAACAGATAAAACTTTATTGATATTCATAGAAAAAAAAAATATTAAAATTGAAAACTGACAATGCCCGTAAACAGCTCAAAACCGTTCAAAATTGTTTGAAAATTTTTTCATGTATAGAAAAGGCTAATATAAACATTCAGTAAAAATGTCATGTACCTATTTACAATCATTTGTTTTAGATTTATACCAAAAGCCAAAATTGATTTTGTTAAAATAGATTTTTTTGTTAAAAATCAATTTTGCGTAAAAATTCCCGTTTTTCCTTAATTTTTATGTTGTTTTTCCCGGCGCATGTGAAAACTATTGCAAATTTTAAAATTTAACCTCCCGAATGCACCAACTAGATTCACTTTCCCATCGAACAAGATACTGTTGAAGAAAATCGAAGGAGTTTTACTGCCACCCAAACCGTGATGGCAGACACAAAAATAAAAATAAAATAAAAAAAAGGTGGGTAAGTGGATGTCGCTCTGCTGTACAGTAGGTTACAAGTGGGTCACTGTATAATGGATGCTATTAAATTTGAATTCAATGATTCAATATCATTGTATAAGAAAAACGATTCTGAGCGAAGACGGTATGTCAGTCTAGGTTTAAGACAAATTATATACATATCTATGGTATTAAAAAAAAATTCACCTTTAATAAATTCCAAACATTATCACATTATCACAATATTCATTAGGTACTTAATACTTATAACACGTTATACATCAACATCAATAACAAACCCTGATACTATCATAGATATATAATAGTACACTTTAGAAGTTTCAAGTAGGTACCAACGAATAAATATTATATAATCACAACAAAATAACTAGGTTTTTAACATGTAATTTCGTCCAAATTTGAACATAAAATGACTATAAAAATAAACTGTGATTGTATATATTTTAGATTTTTCGGTAAGAGTATTAGCTACTTACGTGGAATCTTGTTTTAAATTTTCAATCCTTAGCTATAAAAACTGAACATTTTATAATTTATTAATTACGATGATTAATAAATTTCAAGATTTTGAAGATTTCTGTCAAAATTCGATGTTTAAATGCTTATAAAAAAAAATTGTGCCTATGTATTTTTAATATTTTTCAACTGATATTGTAACAATATATCAGGAGCCTTGTATTACATTTTTACACTTTTTGGCCCAACAGATAAAACTTTATTGATATTCATAGAAAAAAAAACTAAAAAAATTTAAAAATGAAAATATCCGTAAACAGCTCAAAAAGAGTCAAAATATTTTCAAAATTGTATGGTGTATAGGAAATGCTTATACAAACATTCAGGGAAATTTTCATGTATCTATAGTTATTCGTTTATGAATGACAATAAAATAAGGAAATCGCTACATGAGAAATCGAGTGAACATCCAATGTTGTAAAAATTTGAATTTCAAAGGCTCATAAAAATTTAATTTGACTGTCCGGTAGAGATTTTTTTATTGATAATGGTAGACAAACTTATGAGTAATCTTGTATTACATTTTCAAATCTTAGATTTAAAAAGAAAAATTTTTACGAATTCTTAACTCAAAATAATTTGCTAATTTTCGTGATTTGTCAATTTTTGAACTTTAAATGCTTATAAAAAAAACTGTGACTAACGTTTTTTAATATTTTTCATCTGCCTTTGAAACAATATAGTAGGAACCTTGTATTAAATTTTCAAGTATTTCTACTCAACAAATAAAATTTTATTGATATTTATAGAAAAAAAACTAAAAAAAAATGAAAAATGAAAATGTCCCTAAACTGTTCAAATTAAATCAAAATATTTTGAAAATGTTATCGTGTATAGAAGATGCAAATATAAACAACCAGTGAAAATTTCATGTATCTACGGTCATTTGTTTTAAAGTTACACCAAAAACCAAATTCGATTTTGTCAAAAACCTTTTTGCGTAAAAATTCCCGTTTTTCCTTCATTTTTATGTTGTTTTTCCCGGCGCTTGTGAAAACTATTGGGAATTTTAAATTTTGACCTCCCCAATGCACCAACGATATTCACTCTCCAATCGAACAAGATACTGAAGTCGAACATCGAAACATTTTTTCGACTACTTATCGTGTACACAGACACAAAAAAAAAAACACACATCATTGTAAAATCAATACATTCATCGTTTCACTCCGAATCTAAAAACACTCATCATTGTAAAATCAATACATTCATCGTTCCACTCAGAATCTAAAAAATATATTTATATTTAAGTACTCAAAAAAATATTCCACTTTGGAATAATGAAATAAAAATGGGTGTTGTCATTTAATAATGAAAACAATAAAGAAATAGAAAAAAATACATTTTTAGAAAAATGTTGTTTGACGCTGTAAAAATAATTATGTAAAACAATATTTTCAAAAACGTTAGTAACTTTTGAAATATCGAATGTCTTACGTTAAATGGATCATCCGGTATATACCTACGAAACGACGACCACGAGAATAATAAATTGGACAAACGGGTTTTCGCGTGTATTTGTACTAGCTATACGTGATATATAGTGTCTATATGCTTTGTATTTAGTACAGCTGCTTCTGCAGGTTAGTAGACGGCGTATACTGGATTAGGTTAGTTTAGGTTAAATCGTCTGTCTGGGCGGTTTGATATCGGGTCGAACTTATTCGTAAGTACATAATATACAATATATATTATAATTTATAATATATCGTACACTCTCCGATTGTCGAAAACCTTACTTGAGGATGAGCTATAAAACAATATCATAATAGTCGATTATAGTTACTAAAATATAGTATGTGTTATTATATCGATATCGTTACACTGTTACAGAGTGCATTTATTTTATGTGTGAGTACTTGTATTGTCTATAATGGCCTTATTGACTATTGGTGTCACCGTGTCAGTTACATTGTTGTTTTTAAAATAATTAACGAAACTTGAATGTTAAGTGTTAATGTGTATGACCGCCATCGCTACGTATCCATTCACAGGGTATGATGCGCAGGTATATTTATAATATACGTTTTGTCAATAGTAGTTAGGTAGCGATTTATCACATTGTCCGATATAAATTTTAAAAACCAATTCAAACGCGTCAATAAAGTATATATTGATTTTTTAACTCCAGTATTTACCCGATATAATAATTTACTGTTGTGCCCATCATCCGTTAGGTAAAAATGTAATAACTTTTATCAAATTACCCTATCTACCATTAAATTAAATAAAACATGATTAGGTACTATATTAACAAAAAATATAAATAAGTTGATTAATGTGTGGTGTGGAGGGAGAACCCTCTATAATCTATATGTCATGGGTAAGTTGTACCTATACTATAGACATTTTAATCACCATCCCCCATCCCCTGTCACCCCAGCCACGTGGTCGAGCTTCAGTTACAACACTGTATTATTAGCTTAAGAATCGCTCGAGTGGTTCCGTATATAAACGTGCCGAGGGGATGTCGTTTTGGATTGTGTTTAATATTTTGAATCAATTCGGTGCCTACAAATATTATTTTATATTATATAATAATTTACGTGAGCATCCTATTTCCTCGTGCATGAACATTGAAGGCACAAAATCGCGAGAAAACATAGAAATGCATACCAACATACAATAATTATTATGTTATATTATATTGTATTAATTTGTATATCATACTTCGACGTGGCCCGTGAGTCGTAACGGTAGATTTCGTGCGAGGCAGGTTTTCACGAAAAGCGTATACCTGGCTACCCGGTTATACCTGTGACACATTGACACGTGCAGCAGCTATGGTGCAATATATATATGGTGCATAATATTATTTTGTATGCTCCGACAACGGAGATAACCGATTACCAAACATAATAATCTAATAACACTATACGAAGCGTGTATAATATTCTCTTGCGAATGACGTCAATCCCATATTATCATCGACACGATCGACTCGGTGTAATGGACGTCTCTGCTATTAAAACGAGTGCAGCTGCACTACAATATATAGACGTCGTGCACGGGAAAGCCGCGACCGATATATCGCATCGTTTAAAAAAAAAACCGATTTAAACGCTCGCTACGAAATTTTCTAAAACATTTTAAATAGGTAACCATAATATCGTTAATTTTAAAAATAAATGCTGATCAGAGTTTTTCCTTTTTCTCGTCCTCGTACACTTTAGATTTTAGATAAAAAAAAAACCACTATTAACGCTGCAACGATCGCCCGTCTGTATTTACGGCGATAAACCCGGGACGTGGGAATATTTTTATCCGTCGGCAATGCGACCGACAATGACAACAGCGTACGGGCCGCGGGAATATTATTATTTATTATGACATTATATTTCGGCAACCGATTTTATTATTACCTATATGTTCGATAATATTGTTTGACGCATTGTTATAGACGGTTTTTAATTTTTAATATTACTAGGAAAGGCCAAACGGTTACGAAAACGGCCGATGTTTAAGAAAATAATTTATAAATATTAGAAAAAATGATCCAGTCTCCAGTTTCGAACTCCTTTCGCCGCCCGCAGTCCGCCGTTGAGACTCGGGGGCTGTTGAAAAACAACACAACCACCCCAATCACTCGAACCGAATGCGATTTTCCGGCGCGTTCTTCGAGAGGTTTTCGGATCGCCATAGCAACGACGCGCAACGCTACCGCCGGTCGTGCTGCGCCGTCGCGATAAGGGTCGGCGGCGCCGCGTCAGTCCGCGCGTTACGCCGGCACTCGGCAGAGTATGTCCGTCCGCCGGTCGTTGCGGTCGCCGTTTACGTTGCATCGTGCAGTCGTGCTTTTCGTCCGGAAAAACGTGGAAAATCGAAACTCGTGGTCGGACAATATTGCCGGAAGGAAGTCGGAACGTTTTCTTCACTTCACCGGAACAACAACATATGAGTCCGATGTAGAAACGATTACGTCCACTGCTCCTGTTCCCCGACCACGATGATGTTGTCCAGGCAGACGACGACGCGCTCAGCACCGTCCACCAGTCGTACCGGCACGGCCGACGCACCGGAACCGTCGTAAGTGCGAATTATGTTGCATAAATTACATTATAATATTATATTAGATATCAGTGTATCACATGCACAGCTTGGGGGGGGGCAGGGGAATTAGCAGCTTGTCACACCACAATATAATATTATATTAATTGAAAATACCTGAGCCACGACAGATGTTTTCTTCGATGAGGCATTAAATTGGCTGAGAACGATTTGATGCAAGACTGTTTCTAAAATTTGGCAAATGCTTATAGATTTGTTGTACCATTTAAAGAGTGTCCTGCGTGATGCCGATATCAACTATTTTTTTTTCAAACGAGAACTAATTTTTTTTAGCGTAAATTATTAAGCTTATTTTGTGCTTATTGATCTAAATAATTGAAAATCTGATCCTTGAGTATGTTTAAAAAATCCAATTATCAGAATTTTAATTTTGAATTAATACATTATTAAAGGAAACTTTGGGGTGGGAGTGTGCCACGTGCATGATACTTGATAGTGAATCATACTGGATAGATAGGTAGGTACTATATAAGAAATAAATTTTGATGTTAATTTATATTAATTATAACATGCCATCTGAAAATATACCAACTTAGTAGAATGCAGAAGGATTTAGGGGAAATATCCACACAGTCTCACAGATTCACAAGGAGAAAATATGAGGGCTACAGAACCTTTTAAAAAACATTTGGTCCTTGTTGCGCCTAAGTAAGGTATTGCATACGGTATAACGTCGGTTAACTTATCATTATAATGATATCGTACAATATAGTCGGTTAGTACTAGGACCGAGTCATAGAATTCTATGATTTGATATTGAAATTTTCTAGTTAGGTTAATTGGGCGGGCTAATTTTACATAAAGTAATTTAAATGACGTTTATCAAAGTTGATACCAGCAAACTATTTTACTATATTGAAAAATCGTATTTCATAATAATATTATATTTTATTATCTCGCCATCGTGTGCTGCTTCTAGCGGAAAAACGGTGAATTATTTTCTCGCGTACTCGGCGGCAGACACCACTCCACATAAACTCCGCGATATCGTAAAAATGTATCGTCGTCGCGACCTTGAAAACGTTGACACCATAGAGTGGTACTGTTACTCTGTATACGAAATCCCGTACATTTTACTTAGTATAATAATACAATTACGAAGAAAATCATTTTCATGATTTATATTTTTGTCGGATGTCGGACAAGCGCCGCCACGCCACTGGCGGCACCGGGACGCGTATTTACGGATGCTACTCAATCAATTGCATTTTTGTCGCACCGAGCCACCAATTTGAAAAAACATCGTACAGTGATGCGGTGCTAGCGGCACTCGTCGCTACGCTCCTCGGCGCCGTCGCTACGCTCCTCGGCGCCGTCGCTCCGCTCCGCAAATCGAAAATATCCCCCGACTTGCTGTGCAACACCTCCCCAAGTGGGTCACAGGATAATAAAAAATAAATTAAATTTTTTTTATACTTTAAATTATACTTTATTATACTTTTAATATTATTGTACTTTATTACTTTAATATGATTACGGTAGACCACGTCCATTTTGGTAGACCGCAGTGGCATAGTGGCCAGACTCGAGTAGCATCCGTAAATACGCCACCGGGACGCCGTAATAGCAACGCACGCCACTTAGCGTTCCATTTTGGTGATCTTCACCTTGAGTGGACGATACCGATATGGCCCGGTGTGTCCAGGCAGACGGGACAGCTTTACACCAGTTTCGTATTTACGGGGGGAGGGGGGGGGGGTCAAGGAGATCAAAATTGTTCGGAGTCCTAACTTAAGGCTTCTAGTTTTAAAAGCGGGGCTATTGGATAACATCATACTCCCCCCTCCATGACAAAATTCTAAATATGCCACTGCTTTACACTGACGAACCGCATGGGTGGATCGGCGTCGGAACGAACTGCATATTTTGTTCCCACTTGTCGTATTAGTCGCCTTTGACAATACAGATAAACGCAGCTACTAGTAGCCTTTCACTGTCGCGTACAGATGTTGGGTCGAGATCCCGTCGTCCAATGTTAGCACCAACGTCTCCGGGCCGGTGGATACGGTCCACTTGAGGATCGGCGGCACGTTCCTCCAATCGTCGGTGCACTCATGCCGCAGTGGGTAAGGCAGACTATGCATTGATCGTCAGCTGGCAACCGACGGCCGTAAACTCACCACTCACCGCGACCATCGGCGTCTTGACGTTCGGCCAAATCTCGGCGCGCCACGGCCGCGTTCTCCGCCCTGGTTACGTCAGCCGACGACGTTTCTTCCGTCCTCGCCGCAATGTGCAGGCTGTTCCGTCGATCGTCGATGACGCCGCAGCCGCCCATCAATTTCCTTCTGGATTTTGGACACGGTTTATGGAAATTTCAGTTTTCTATAGTGCCTGCCGGACAAAAGGTTAGGCCTTTAGCACCTACTTTGCTTATCATTTTTGAGGTGTGCGAATCCCTTAAAGTTAACTGGAAATTTTTTTATATTTTAGGTACTATAAACACGGTATAATACAGACCGACTAACTTTTTTAAATGTATTATTTTACAAGGCGTAGTCATATCTTAAAACATGTTAAAATGACAAGATGAAAATCTTAAATCTGCTCATTTATTAACGAAATACAAATTAAGTACAAAACTATAGGTATGTGTCTTAGGTCGTTATTAATAATATTATGTGACTATGTGAGAATAGCAATATTCTAGGAAAATAAAATACCTCAAAAATTTAATACAAGAATTTGAAATTCGAATACCGCACGTTTTCTACATCTCTCATCCAAGAGACGGGGAAATGTAATTCATGAACAACAGGATATTTTCTCATAAATAGTTTAAATATTATTTAATTTTGAATTATAAAATTATTAGATAGAATTAGAAAAAAGTAATTTATTTAGATTTCTTTTAATAGAAATTGTTGCAATTTATTCATATTGTAATTTAATCAAAAAGAGTCACTGCATTTTTTGTTTTTTAATATCATATTTTTAAATTTTTACGTCATTTCTTCATATTTTAGGTCATTTTTGTAGTTTTTGTACAATGTGGGAGCCAAAATTAGCCTAAATTACTCGGAAACCCATCATCAAATTATTATTTTTAAATTACATTTTTTGGTAATTTTTTAAGTTCATTTTTGGAGTTTTTAACGCATTTTAGCATAAAAAGGAATTTGTGTTGTTTTTTAGGTCATCAACATCCTAACTCTATAGCAATAAAGTATGAAGTTGTATCATAGTACCTAATAATGATACTTTTGATGTAAAAATTACAGATGATAATATTATTACGTCTATATTATTCATATATAAATTTATATCGGGGATATTGTTAAATTATATTAATAATGTCTTGATGTTAAAAATTTGTTTAGTAAACAAAAATCTATTAATATAATCTTCTTGCTGTTTTTTAATCTAAATAAGCATACTGTATTGATATAATTTATAATACCTATCCATAAATAATATGATATATTTATATATAAAATATAATACAATTATCAGTTATCACATATAAACCATTCATTTATTTTCTTGAATTTCTATTATTAATTTTATTAATTAAAAATATGTTTTTTATACCTAGTAGGTATATTACATTTTAGGTTAAAAATATAATACTGGCATACTCAAATCGATTTTATTTGAGAATAGTTATTCTTGTAATCATTTTTTTTTTGTTATTATTGCATGTCATTTTAGTTAAGAAACTTTCATTTTATTTATCTACAGTTAAATTTACTTAATTCAGAACTACAAACGGTAAGACAGCGAATTTATTAAATTTATTTGACTCGTCAGTTTTATAATTACATCTTATTTTGTAATAATAAGTTATAATATTTATTATCTTTGTTAAAACTTAGATTGATTTAATTTAACAAATTTAAATATTAAATAAAAATAATAATGTTAACTTTTAAAAGCTTATACATAAATATAGATAAAACTATATACTTTTTAGTAAAATGTGTACCTAAGTATATCATTATGAGCTGTTGTATTAACTTGTTATATTATACAGTGTCGTAACGCATAAATAAAAATGTATTGATTATGATTCATGAGTAATGAGTATATTTAAACTATATATTTTTAAAATGTCATATATATTATTGTATTGTATCATTTATATAATCCATTATAATAATATATATGTAATTATTTTAGTAATGACGATCAATATTATCAAATGTTTATCACTTGAGCCTGAGTCACATATATTTTATTGATTAAATATGCTTTGAAAACTAATTAATTTAATATAATTAAATATTTATATGGATTTAATATTATGATATACAAACTAATAGTTTATAGTACCTATATAGAATATATCTAAATCATAATAATGCAGAATGTTGAATATTAATTGTCTAATGAGTACTATCTTGATGACATTTAAAAAAATATATAAACAAATTAGTAGTCCGTTCGTAGTGATATGGTGCCAGTTTACTAATAAACTGACTACGTCACTTGATAATCTACTTGATCTTTACTAAAAATCGAAAACTATATTTCAAACATATTTTCAGTATGACATAACTGGGGACATAACAGTCAAATCACTAAATACATGACGATTTATAGAGTAGGTTTAATACCACTGCCATTTAATATCGTGTTCGCCACATGAACACTATAGGTGAGAACCTACCTTAAAGAATCATAGGCAATGATTTATTTGAATTTTAGGAAGGACTTTAATTTTTTTTAAATAAAGTTTGAATTTAAATATTACAATTAATACTCACGGCCACATACTTACAATGTTTTAAATATTGTTGTTCACTTTATCATAAATATTAAATAATATGTCCTATTTTTCAATAGTCAATAGGTAATACATAGGCTAAACATTTTTTTTTTAAATTATGGTTAATAATAAGCATATAATAACCAAGCGTTGGATATTTCTAACTGCAACAAAATTGAAAGGAGATTAACATTTTATTTATTGAACTAAAATAAAAAAAAATAAAAAAATGTTTTATTTCCATGATGAT